ATGAGTGTGTTGAAGGTGTACTCAGGTGAATACATCAGCTCCAAATTTGAAATGATATAACTAATATAAGTGTTCTAAAATTCGGTCTAGACGTAGTAGAAATGATATAATTAGTTGGCAAATCTGACCTAAACCAACAACATTTTAGAATGATTTTAAAATAAATAATCAGTAATTTCATATAAAGTGTCTAACTACCGTATAGCTATTTCGTGAACATTGATTTGTATGTTCAAAACATTGTATTAACTTTCCTCATGGTTGTGTTTTAGGTTGACAAAATCAGATTTCCGTGAGCCGGTGAACATTGGAAGCGATGAGATGGTGAGCATGAACGAGATGGCAGAGATGGTTCTCAGCTTTGAGGAAAAGAAGCTACCAATTCACCACATTCCAGGCCCAGAAGGTGTTCGTGGCCGTAACTCAGACAACAATCTGATCAAAGAGAAGCTTGGTTGGGCTCCAACAATGAGACTAAAGGTAATAATAAAACATTATTATTACTCCAAGTAGGTCAAAGATAAGATGAGAGTTTGACTGACTCCTTATGTGACTTGGTTTTGTGTGGGGAATCATCAGGAGGGGCTTAGAATAACTTACTTCTGGATCAAGGAACAGATTGAGAAAGAGAAAGCCAAAGGCAGTGATGTGTCTCTTTATGGTTCATCAAAAGTGGTTGGGACTCAAGCACCGGTTCAGCTTGGCTCACTCCGAGCTGCTGATGGAAAAGAGTAAATGGTTGATGATGATCCACTACTGCCAAGCTCAAAGTATGGCCTTATTCAATATATACTAAAGGTCAGAAGAGTGTTTAGATATTAGGTAAGCTTTACTATGGGTTTAAAAAGCAATAATAAGTGTTTTGGATTTGACTGTCCCCTTGTGCTAATGATCTTTCTTGTTTTATTGTATTTTTGGTTGAAAAGGCTTTTCCTGTTAATTAAGCTTATACTATGTATTAAGTATATATATTATTGTGGTCCTGACACAATATGTTCACTATCATCATCAACTTGATGTTTGTGGTACCAGGAATCAAGTGGCTGAGTTCTGATATTTTCTTTCATCTTATCCAACATCCAATATCACACATATCTAGGGATTAGAGTTTAGAGATCACTTACCATTCTTTCTCTGGCTCCCCATTCCTCAGCCAAGACAATCAAATCACACATTATAATCCTACTTGATGAAATATTAATTTTACCACACTGATTAACAGTTTTGTTCTAAAACTCGGCCGTCTCGGCGCTAGGCGACCCTCTTCCACCACGATTTATGTCAAATTACTGTAGAAAATCGGTCGTCTGATTTTATCCCGCCTAGCCGTCTATTCTATTTTTTTATTTTTTATTTTTAGTAATATTTTTATCTATTTATTTGATCTAAATTTTAATAAATATAACTTATAATTATAATTTTGATGAAAATTATATCAAATTAATTTTATATATTTTATTTGTATGTTTTATAAGATTCTAAGCATGAAAATATATGAATGTTATAAATAATTAAAGATTAATATATTTTATATCATATTAAATAGTCTAAAAATTCCGTCCGATATAATCTCCGTTTAATCCCTAATTTTCTCTTTACGCGCTAGGCCCAACTATATCGCCCGACTAGCGCCTAGCACGTTCCCGAACCTGGATTAACAGTAAGCTTAACTAAAGAAAAATGAAAAATCACATGGCACTCTCCTTTTTGGACTAGCTTTTGTGGTACGTTTTTTCTGGAAGGTTTATTCGGGTTGGTTATGTGTCTATTATGACATAACTATACACCTCAAATAATGGTGCTGCCGTTACGGCCCTGAAAAATGGGCTATAAAACTCTTTATGAGCCTCCTACTCTATGTGAAAACCCAATGCAGAAAAAATAGTCTCTGCTTTTCAATGTACTTGAAACAAAAGATGCAGACCTATCCATCACTAGCATGATCATCTGCTTTAGTAAGTAACTAAATATATGTATAATTACATTCCAAATTTCCAATAGGCTTGTTTAACCAAATTCATACATGCAATATTTTTTTCCTCTACACTTTTCATTATACATGATCGACACCAACAGAACTCGTAACTTAGATATCTTATTGTTTGTAAATCTAATAAGTTTAGAAAAAAACTCTATATGTATAATAATTTGAAAATCATTACAATGTAATAACGTTATACTAGATTTTGACCCGCGCAACCGCGCGGGTGTTTGTTTTCGTTTATAGTTAGTTATACAAACATTTTGCTTTCACTTGTAAAATTGATATATATTATATTAATCACATATTTACGATATGTATAGTAAATGTTTTTTAAAACATAACAATATTATATAAAACGTGTTTTAATCAAATAGATTGTTTCTAATTTTTTATATTATACTTGTTTTTCAAACATGTTTTTCTTTCTTCTTTTATATTTTATTGTTTGTTAGATTGGTATTTCATTTTTAGCTAAAGTAATATAAATAGAGCTTAATTAAATATTAGTATACTTTAATTTGCAAAGATAATATAAACTTCAAATTTTTTTTTGTTAAAAACTAAACTTATAACTTCATAAGTTAATATTATAAAGAATTTTATTAAAAAAGAATTTTTAAACAATTTATTTTTAAACACAATATAATTTTAAAAATTTACATCGAAATAAATTTATCTAGTATATCTAGCGTGTAAATTTTGTTTGGGTATATAAATATTCCATATTACAAATCTGTGATTTTTGTTAATATATTGTGGATGCATTTAACTATTATTGACATATTTCCTTATAAAAAATAGAAGATTCCTAAACTTTTATCTATTGACATATTTTACGTGACTAAGTTGGAAGGTGTGGAGTAATTTACCAAAATCAAATTGTTAGGCGTATCTTTGTTATTATAGATATGATTTTTCATAAGATATAATAATGATACGATTATTAGAGAGTTAATGTAACATGACTTTCTAGTAATAGTCCATTTTTTAAAAAATCACACATGAAGTCAAGTCATGACTTCTGTTTTAATATATAAGATATTCAAATTATTAACGAATATTCAAAGTATAATATCTACAACTTGCAAAATAATAACAAACCAATGTAGCGAAAGTCACTATAACATAAACCATAGGCCTGCGATTTTGGTTTTCCGAAACCGAACCGAACCGTCGGTTTTTGGTAAACTGAAAATTTTGAAACCTATTCCGAATTTAACCGAATTAAATTTTGGTTCGGTTCGGTTATCGGTTAATTTTGGTTTTCAAAATTATTTTCGAAAATAACTGATTTTATTGGTTTTCGGTTAATTTCAGTATAATTTTCCAAAAAAATCGGATATATTCGGATATTCTCAGTTATTTCAGTTAAGTTCGGATATTTTCGGTTATTTTTGGATATTTTCAGGTTATTTTTGGTTTTTTAATTTTAATTTTTTTTGAAAATCAAAAAGCGAACCGAACCGAACCGAAAACCAAATTAATTTTCAGAATCATACCGAACTAAACAAAATTCAAAATCGAAACCGAATCGAAAACCAAAAATTTCGGTTCGGCTCAGTTCGGACCGTTCGGTTCGGTTTAAAGTTGCAGGCCTAATAAACCATATCCACACCAAACTATGAATACTTGGAAAGTCCAGACATTGTGGACCAAGAAGATATCGCTCGTGTAAAAGCATGCACAAATATATCATGTGGTTCTAAATGAAGGAAACCAGTGAGGGCCCATGAAGTCTTGTTGCTTGAAAAGTGGTGCCTATTATATATCCAAAGTAAATGAGCCATCACTTTTCATGTTGGCCCATTACATATCTCTCGACAAGAGGTTTACCACAAGTGCACCATAAATGCAGCAATCAAAATGGACCCACGAAAAATGCAACTTGAGTTTTTGATAGATTCTTATCCAAAATGATATCTTTAGTACATTTCCTTAATCCAGCTTAACTTTAAAAACTATATCTTATATCCCTCTCGGATCTCTCATTATTTGTAGAATGCAAATGGGAAAATATTAAATGGACCCACGAGATGAAGTATGTTACAAAATCAACGACGACGACTATTCTATTTTAAATCTTCGTACGACGCCTATCAACTTCCCATATTTAATAGAATACCCCTCTTGCCACGTCAGTCTTACTTGGATTTGACCCGAAAAGCGTTAGAAAAATATTATTTTATCCAATAAGGCAAAAAATATTCACTACGTGTAAGTCTGTGATAGAATTAACGATATTACTTACAACCTCTCAAAGTCTTGATTTTGTTTGTCGTTTGATCCGAAGTATAGTTTTGATTAAAATAGCCCAATACGGTCTAATTCTATAAGGATTCAAATCGTTTAAAAGTTGATGTATGTAAAGTACATTTGTGTATACAATTGGCCAGTTAAGTATATTATAAACAACTGTTGGGTATTGTCTCATGTATATAAAAAGTTGTTAATTACTGAAAATCGATTTTAATATTATTTTGGCTAATTCTAGAAATTTTAGTGAATCTGAAAAGATGTTATTTTTTCAACAAAATTCAAAAGAAATTAAAAATATGTATACATATTATGTAGTAATTTACAAAAATATATTGAATAACAAAATAAAACTATATTTCAAAATGTTTATTAATAATTAAAATTAATTGATTCATATTAACAAATTTGAATCAAAAACTTATATCATTTGAGATTATTAATAAGTTATTTTTATTGTGTTAGAATCAACCAATTGAATTCTTATGTTTTATAACAATTTGTTATTAACAATGGATTCTTTTCTTATCCTTTTGTAGTGATACAAATTACAATGAGAAAACAGGACCTTATAGAAAGAATCAAAAGTTATTGGTGTGAATAAGAATACACAACTCTTGTCGGGGCCCGGGGAGTAATCTAATAACTAAATATTCTTACAAAATAAAAGAACTGAAAAGAACACATTTAAATGCAAAAAGACTGACCAATCGGATAAGAAGGAAACTTGTAAGGAAATAACAAGTTTGAAACCAAAACAAAAATGGAAAAGACTCTCTCTGTCGAAGAAATCTCCGGCAACAATCTTTGGTCGGAGCTGGCCAAAGAGACCAATGGGATGAACCGTAGTGACTCCGAGTGGGCATTCCAACGCTTCTTACAAGAGTCCTCTTCTGCTGGAGAAGCTGCGACTGCTTATGGCGTTTCAGTCTCTGGACCTCCTTCTCCGAGTGTTCCTGTAGATTCTGAGGAGTACAGAGAGTTTCTTAAGAGTAAACTCAATCTTGCTTGTGCTGCTGTCGCCATGAAAAGGGTACAAAACTAGTCTCTTAGCACTCTTAACCCTTCAGTTTTAGTAGCTTCTTGTTTGGATTTTAAGTTTCAAAGTTTGATGAAAAGAATAAGTTTCAAAGTTTTTTTTTGTTTTTTTTTACTATACTAATAACTGAAAACATGTTCTGTAGATAAGCAGAGTATACTTTATCTCTAGAGACTATAGGATCCAAAAGGATCAAACCTTTTTCTCATTTGACTTGTACTAGAAGTTAAGAACTAAGTTTATGTTGTTCTTATTGAGTCTTGGGATCTATAGGATATGATTTGAGTCTGTGAACCTAAGGAAAGGATACAAATTTGCTATTATCTTTCCAAAGACTTTACCCTCTTTTTTTGATAATTGAGTTGATGTGTTAATGTGTGGAAACTTGATTAGGGAGCTTTCAGCAAACCTCAGGATACCTCTGGTAGACCTGAAAATAGTGGAGCCACTGCATCAGACCAAGGCTCCTTAGCTTCTTCCAAAGGTTTTTTTTTCTTTAATAATTGCTCAAACACTGCTTTAATGTTTTCTGTAATGACATTCAGTTTACCTCCATGATGTGGGCCCTTTAAAGATGTTTTTGTTGTTTACTCATGTTGTGTTAGAGAGTTTTGTTAAATACCTACATTAACAAATGCAGAACTAATCTATATGGTTTTCATTTGCAGCTACACCAGTGATGAGCAGTGCTGTAACAAGTGGATCTGAGCTCTCTGGTGATGAAGAAGAAGCTGATGGTGAAACTAATATGAACCCCACCAATGTTAAGCGTGTCAAAAGGTAAAATCATTTACATCTTTTCTTGAATCCTCTCAGACAACAAAATCTTACTTGGACATAAACATTTGTTTGTTTATCTGTTGTAATTACAGGATGCTCTCTAACAGGGAATCAGCTAGACGGTCTAGAAGAAGAAAGCAAGCACACCTGACTGAGCTTGAGACACAAGTATGTTAATCTTACCTCCTTTATTTCTTCCTTTTTTTGACCTTTCTCATCTCACTTGTCTTGTTTTTGTTTTTGTTTTTCTCTCTCTGGTAGGTTTCACAGCTGCGTGTAGAGAATTCAAAGCTCATGAAGGGTCTCACAGACGTAACTCAAACATTCAATGACGCGGCTGTAGAAAACAGAGTTCTTAAAGCCAATATTGAGACACTACGAGCAAAAGTAAAAATCCATTTTCCCTAACCAAAACTCACTTAAACAGACTATAATAAGAACTCTTTCCAAACATGTTTTTTTTTTTTGTAGGTGAAAATGGCTGAGGAGACAGTGAAGAGACTCACAGGCTTGAACCCAATGTTCCACATCATGCCTCAGGTTTCAACTCTCTCTAATCCTTCAGAGACATCAGATTCTTTAGACACAACAAGCATTCAAGTTACCACACCAGAGATCAGCTCAAGCAACAACAAAAACAAGGCCTTGGTAGGGTGCAAAATGAACAGGACAGAGTCTATGCGTAGAGTTGCGAGTTTGGAACATCTGCAGAAACGTATACGCAGCGTTGGTGATCAGTAGCTTGTGAATTAAAACAAAACTTGTTCTGTAAAAATTGTCACAAGACGAGACATAATATATGTTCTGTAAAGATGTCTGTGTGTTAACCCTTGTGAATTGCCTATTAGTTATCTCTACTTCTGTCTTACTCTTATGTTCAATTTATCTCCAACATATGCACTATCTTGTAAATACGACCAAGTTAACAAAAAATATCAAACTCATGCTTCATCCAAATTATCCGGTGTATGATGCTGAGGTTGTGCAAACATTATTTGATTTGATCTTTAGTAAATTTGTAGATGATTTTAAGGCTTTAAATAGTGGCAAGGAAATATTTAAATGAAAAAGAAAAACAAATCTCAAGGTATGGGTTTTCAGGTTTTAACTTTGGTCTTCCATAGCTTAAGGATTTGTGTTTGGTTAATAACTTAATGGTTTTGGTTCATCTGTTCATTACATTTCTCTTCTCAGGGAGGATAATGCAAATCCCAACAGGAATCTGAAATTTTTTTCTACTCAAACTGATTATCTTTTTGGATATATTTTTATATGCCATTTCAAAACTAAACCAATCTACTCTATTAAAATAGAGTCACTGTTTTTATCTACTACAAAGAAGTCATACATAAGATCATTTCATTAATTACTTAGTATGACATATTAAATTATTAAGGTTAATCAATCAAATATATATCATATATTCTGAAAATAATAGATTTATATTTTATTTTTAGTTATAACAGAATCGGTTGATAGAAAATCTAACAAAATCTTACTAAAAGTTTAAATATTTTTTATTAAAAAACATAATAATGAATTTCGTAATTAATGATATCATACTATTATACATTAATATTAATTAAAATTTCACTATAATAACAAAAAAAGAATCCTATACTATTTTATAAAATTAAATTATAGTCTATGATATATTAAAATAGAATTGCACTATGAATTAAATAAAATAAATAAAGTTGGTAATTGAAACTTTTTAAAAGAATTTATTTCACGTAAATAAAAAAATTATTCATCATTAAAAGGATTAACATCATAAATTATGTATATTATTTACACAAAAATGTTAGCATAATGTTAAATTTTTTACTATATCTTATTTTTTTACTTATTTAAAACTCACAAAAACATATTATCTAAAATGATTATATAAAAAATATAATAGTATATAACTAACTTTTAGTTCATGTGTTATTTAAAAAAGATAGGATATCAGAAAGTTTTACTAATTCAGAAGATATTAGTGAAA